TATTTATATATAACTCCAAACTTCCTTAAGATTATATTCCTCGTGTGGATGTTTCATCCTCTCTTCTACATCTTTTAGATTTTCTTTGGACCATTTAATCCTAACCTGAGTGACCATGACCAGTTTCCCTACGTCCATCAGATAGCCACCAAGGACACACGTTTGTCCCATGGCATGGTCTCCTTGATGCTTCATTTTAGATGGACTTGGATTGGCCTGGTCATATCAAGTGATGACCAGGGTATTCAGTTTCTCTCAGACTTGAGAGAAGAAATGCAAATGTTTGGGATCTGTTTAGCTTTTGTGAATGTGATCCCAGAAAACATGCAGATATACATGACAAGGGCTATGATATATGATAAAGAAATTATGACATCAACAGCCAAGGTTGTTATCATTTATGCTGAAATGAATTCTACTGTAGAAATCAGCTTTAGAAGATGGGAATATTTAGGCGCTCAGAGAATCTGGATCACAACCTCACAATGGGATGTCACCACAAATAAAAAAGGTTTCAGCCTTGATTTCTTCCATGGGACTGTCACTTTTGCACACCACCACAGTGAAATTACTAAATTTAGGAATTTTTTGCAAACAATGAACACTAGGATATACCCAGTAAACATTTCTGAGTCTATACTTGGCTGGAATTATTTTAATTGCTCAGTATCAAAGAACACCAATAAAATGGTTCCTTTTACACTCAATGACACATTGGAATGGACAGCACTGCACAAATATGACCTGGTTCTGAGTGAAGAAGGTTACAATTTGTATAATGCTGTGTATGCTGTGGCCCACACCTACCATGAACTCATTCTTCAACAAGTAGAGTCTCAGAAAATGGCAGAACCCAAAGGAGTATTCTTTGACTGTCAGCAGGTAAAGTTTCTTACATTTTATAATGCTTATATATATAAATGTGATCATTTAAATGGACCCAGAGAAATAACTGTACATTTGCTAGAGATTATTCATTCAGTGGAAAGATCTCTACATTCCAAGACTCCCTAAAGTGTCTTTTACATGGGTAAATATCATGCAAAAGGATGACATTTAATAGTAGACAATACATGTCCTATGAATTTCAGTGAGTTTGGGAAGATGTGTCTCAACATTTCACCAAATGAGTTCAAAATTTAAAATAAGAGCCAAAAGTTCTATCACAAAAGCCTTAAGTGATGACTAGAATAGAATATTTTCTTAAGAAATATTTCTGAAGTTTAAGTATATGTACTGTGATTAATAGTTAATCACTTAAGTTAACAATTATTTTCAAAACCATAAATGATTAAGACTTCACATTTTATTAAGTTTATGTTTATTTTATATGTGTGTGCTGTATGCACATGAAAGACCCACAAAAATTATTTTCACAATTTCCAGACATACAGACTTACCCTTCATTCTCATATACATGGCCTCACTTTTTAAAAAGCTTTTTGACAAACATGTGTATGAACAAACACATACACACAATCACACACACACACATATACACACACACTCACACACCCACATACCATGTTACTTGTTATCTGGCAGTCACTTTTTTTCTAGCATGTTTTACCATCGAACATTAATATGAAGTATATTAACTTGTAATTATCCATGAGGTATATTGTATTTTCCTACATTGGATTACTTTAATACAGCTGTCTTTTCTGAAAGTCATTAAAAATTAAGTGACATTGTCAATTTGGCATTCCCTTTATGGACATGCACATATATGCATCTAATGATTCTCTCATTTAGGTGTCTTCCTTGCTGAAAACCATAGTATTTACTAACCCAGTTGGAGAACTGGTGAATATGAACCATAGGGAAAATCAGTGTGCAGAATATGACATTTTCATCATTTGGAGTTTTCCACAAGGCCTTGGATTAAAAATAAAAATAGGAAGCTATTTTCCTTGTCTCTTACAGAGTCAACAACTTCATACACCTGAAGACTTGGAGTGGGATAGAGGAGGAACATCAGTGGGTATACCACAATTTTTACTTTTTTCTTTTTTTTTAATTGGATTTTTATTTACATTTCATATGTTATCCCTTTACCCCATTCTCACCCACTCAGGAACCCCCTATCCCCTCAGCCCTCTTCCTGCTTCTCTGCGGATGTGCCCCTACTTACCCCCCCACTCCCACCTCCCCACCCTCAAATTCCCACCTAATGAGGGGTCCAGATTTTATGAGACCAAGGATCTCTGCTCCCACCTGTGCCCTACAGGGCCCTCCACCCTTACATATAAAGCTGGAGCCATGGACCCCTCCCTAAGTGCTCCCAGGCTGGTGGTTTAGACCCTGGGAGCTCTGGTTGGTTGTAACAAAAAACCCAGGATAGTGAAACTATTCTCAACAATAAAATAACTTCTGGAGGAATCACCATCCCTGACCTCAAGCTGTACTACAAAGCAATAGTGATAAAAAACTGCATGGTATTGGTACAGAGACAGGCAGGAAGATCAACGGAATGGAATTGAAGACCCTGAAATGAACCCACACACCTATGGTCACTTGATCTTTGACAAAAGAGCTAAAACTGTCCAGTGGGAAAAGGACAGCATTTTCAACAAATGGTGCTGGTTCAACTGGAGGACAACATGTAGAAGAATGAAAATTGATCCATTCTTATTTCCCTGTACAAAGCTCAAGTCTAAGTGGATAAAGGCCCTCCACACAAAACCAGATACACTGAAACTAATAGAAGATAAGGTGGGGAAGAACCTCGAAGACTTGGGCACAGGGGAAAAGCTCCTGAACAGAACACCAATGGCTTATGCTATAAGATCAAGAATTGACAAATGGGACTTCATAAAATTGCAAAGTTTCTGTAAGGCAAAGGACACTGTCAATAGGACAAAACGGCAACCAACAGATTGGGAAAAGATCTTTACCAATTCTATATCCAATAGTGGGCTAATATCCAATATATACAAAGAACTCAAGAAATTAGACTCCAGACAACCAAATAACCCTATTAAAAATGGGGTATAGAGCTTAACAAAGAATTTTCAACTGAGGAAACTCGAATGGCTGAGAAGCACCCAAAGAAATGTTCAGTATCCTTAGTCATCAGGGAAATGCAAATCAAAGCAACCTTGAGATTCCATCTCACACCAGTCAGAATGGCTAAGATTAAAAACTCAGGTAATAGTAGATGCTGGAGATGATGTGGAGAAATAGGAACACTCCTCCATTGTTGGTAGGACCGCAAGATGGTGCAACCACTTTGGAAATCAGTCTGGCGGTTCCTCAGAAAATTGGACATAGCATTTCCTGAGGATCCAGCTATACCACTCCTGTTTATATACCCAGAAGATGCTCGAACATACTTTTTCAGTGTATCTAAATTTTAAAATATGAAGCCCTGAAGTCATATCT